GTAACTCTGACTTCTTTACATTGGGTAGAGGTACCCGCCAGGGCTGTCCTCTTTCACCCCTTTTATTTGCGCTGGTGTTGGAACCTTTGGCATTGGCGATTAAATCACATTCGGATATTTCTGGCTATTCATTATTAGTTTCACATTTTAAATTGAGCATGTATGCTGATGATGTTATGCTTTTTATTACTAACCCGTTGACTTCTTTACCTAACTTGTGTGCTGTGTATTGAACGATTTTGCCAAAGTGTCAGGTCTCACCGTTAATTTTACCAAATCTGTGGTCATGCCTGTTAATGTTCCTGACTCCCTAAGTGCATCTCTCCGTAGTTCTTTCCCATTTCGCTGGGTCAAGGACAGGATATCCTATCTGGGGATTAACCTCACTCCCAGATACTCGGATATATTTGCGGCTAATTATCCACCATGTGTATCGCGTCTCTCTACTCTACTGAAGATCTGGCACGGTTATCATATCTCCTTTCTGGGTAGAGTCACGGCGGTTAAAATGAATATTTTGCCCAAATTGCTTTATCTTTTTAGAGCACTTCCAGTTCCGGTCTCAAAAACCTTTTTGGATCATTTTCAGCGGACTATTAATAATTTTATTTGGGGAAATAAGCATCCACGTTTTGCCTCATCCATTTTGTATCGCTCGCAACGGTCGGGAGGTCTCGGTCTTCCTAACTTTTGGCTATATTATCTCTCGGCTCGCTTTGCGCAATTGTCACAATGGGCTACTATTAACTCTCAAATCCCGTGGATCAAGTTTGAGTCTCAGTCGATACGCCCTTTTTATTTACCGGGAATTTTATGGTCTAACATCTCCCCCCGATCGACTGTTTTTTATAACTCCATAGTGACTCACTCACTGACGCTTTGGTCCAAACACAAATCTAAATTGGGTTTAGTCTCTTCTATTCCCCCAGGTGTGTCATTTTTTGGGGATCCTACTTTTGTTGTAGCCTTTTCTTCCCCTCATATGTTTCGTTGGTGGTATGATCGATCTTTTATCAGATTGTCTGATTTCCAAAGAGGAGGATCTTATATTACCTTTGATATGCTGCGCGTGTTGTTTGATGTTCCTCTTCGCGAGTACCTTCGTTATAGACAGATTAGGCACTTTTTTAAAGCGCACTTTGGCCTTGCCCCATCCTCTCCGATTTCCTTTTTTGAACGTGTCAGCCGTGACTCTCCCAGGGGTAGGGGTCTTATCTCAAATCTTTATCACCAATTTTTGATCTGTCTTTTTCATGCTCCCCCTTTGTACAGACGAAAATGGGAGGAGGATTGTGGCGTCACTTTTTCGGATGAGGATTGGGATTCCATGGTGGATAATATATGCAAGAGCTCTAGATCTCTTTCGGTTCGTGAGACGGCCCTTAAAGTTCTAACCAGATGGTATTATACCCCGTCAAGACTACATGTACTGTTTCCACAAACGTCCCCTCTATGTTTTCGGGGCTGTGACTGCACGGGTAGTTTGGTTCATATATTTTGGGATTGCCCGACCATATCTTTGATCTGGCGTAGGATTTCTGAGGTCGCTACCTTATTGTCGGGCGCCCCGATACGATTGTCCATGCAGACCTGTTTGTTGGGGGCCCATATCCCAGGGGTCTCTGATGCCAATCTGAGATTGATACACACATTATGTATTGCCACTTTATGGTCTATTGCCCTACATTGGAGGTCCAATGTTGTACCCTTAGACTCCGTTTTACACAGAATTGACACTATAATGCTTATGGAACGCATTCATTATACCCTACTGGATAAGCTGCACTTATACGATAAAAAATGGGAGTCATGGAGAGATTGCAGACACTTATTACATGCTTAATAACATCCCCAGTAAAAGTTGGCTGGCATGTACTATTGACAGGTGTATCACCTAACCTATTTTGTCGTTTATGTACTTCATGCACTTGTAACTTCCTCTTTTTTTTCTTATCTTCTTTGTTATGTTAATATACCTTTATGTATTGTACTTTTCAAAAGTGCCTTGTTTTTGCTGACAATATCACTTTTAAAATGTGCTGTTGTTCTACGGTCTACTCTTGTACAATAAAATCGTTTGTAAACAAAAAAAAGTGGAGCAACTGGGCAAAATAGGACTTTCGCAAGAGTGGATATAGTTAAGGGACCAAAATATTATTATTCAGGATAGCTTCTGAACATGTAAACCTCATAAAACTAAGCGATTGTCCTGCTCCCCACCCCACATCTTTCTCACACAACTAGCTGTTTGAAAACATTTGGAAATAAAAAAAAAAATGGAGCAAAATCTACTCCCACGTTGAATCACCCTCCAATTAACCCACACAAGTCCATCCCTGTATTTCAACCAGTACCTAAACTCCTGACGAAAGAGGGATGCATTAAAACCCCCTGAAATCCACTGGCTGGTTGTCTATGGATCTCTACAATGACATAACAAAAATCTTGAACTTGCTTAAACACATGGTGATCCAGTTAACTACACTTCTCTGTTCTATGCCAGCTGTCCAAACGCTCAGGAATGATTTTAAAGGACTAGTCCACCCAAAAGTGGTATTTCCCTTTTTGATAGATACTAGAGTTTCAATGTCAACACACCTGCTGTGGCCACTATAAGGACCCCTCCCTATTTTTCCTGCCAGGCTTAGTTTACCTTGTAATATAAAAAAAATAAATAAATGGAGTAAAAACACTGAAAACTCCAAAGTGTAGAGGAACTCAGCAAGAAGCAACTGTAGGCCGATCTGCTGGAGCTCCCAAGAGACATTAGAGACCAGGGGTTTCTTAGTATACCCATCCAACTATAAAAGCTTTTGGTGAAGAGACCCTTTAAATGTTGGGGGATATTTATTACACCTTAGCCCAGTATACCTCTACATTGTTATACGTTGGGGCTGACTGCACATCTATTGAACGCAGCCTGCATGTGCATTCCTAATTTTTGGAAGCAGACCACTCTGCCGATTCAAGTCACATGTTCGCCAGAATTAATTAAATTAGATCAATGAAAAGCCTGATGCCCTTGCTTTAGAACTGATCAATTCAGGAACATTTGGATGTCATGGACAGTGTACACTTGCTCTTCTCAGTACACTGGCAGAATATCTGGAATCTTGAGTGCCCAACACTGAATGGCTGGGGAACTTGCCTCTGTTGTCCCTAGACTGTTTCCTGCCCATCTTCCTGAGAAGTCGAGGGGGGAGTTGATAGAGCAAAGTATTTACCCCTCAATCTGCCCCTCCCACTCTCCCTAACCCTCACATCATCCCCTTTATTTCACACCCTAATATTTTTTTCCCCTCCCCGACTTCCCCTCTTGACATTTTAGATATAATTGATCCCACCTAATGTCTGGTTCCATATGCCCCAATTTCCCATTGTTTTCCTTCAAATTCCCTTGATACGAGGGTAGGAGGACATTTCTATGTTTAAAAAATTGTGCTGACCTCAATACCTTTTGTCCTTAGTCCCAAGAGGGAAGAATGGTATTAGGCTCATGCACTGTATGTACAGAAATGTGAAATGCACATTGTGATAACTGTTCCCCTGATTATATGTTATGATGCGTACTAATGTTTATATTGCTTTTGCAGAGGATACTTAAAGAATTAAAACATGTTGGGGGAGGCAAACATCTATTGTATCCTGCTCTAGAATGTGTCTGGCCCAATCAACCCACTGGCCAGCATGCAGGGGTAACAAAGCTTCAAGGTAAGCTTGACATCTCTAGGCAAGGTAGGAAAGGTTCAGTGTTTTATGCTGTCTAAGGTGAACCTGTGCCCAAATCACGCACGTCAAAAGTATTTACAGATTTTAAACAAGCGGTAAAAGCACAGGTAACACGTCCTAATGGTTTCTTGCAACCAAATGCCTTTATAGGACATTTCTAAATGCTTGCAATGATTTTAAATTGTATAATGCACACCATACGTATAACTGCATTCAGATCAGCTAAGGAAAAAATAAAAAAAATAGAAATCTGCACATGCACAGAGTAAATATTCTGAATACCTCTAAACACATATAAACACATGAAAAACTGATCTGGGAAGTACAATGTTTGTTTTCGGTGTTGTGAACTTTAAAAATTAAATTCACAATGCTTAGCCGTCATTAGCACGGGCTTCCTTCATTTAAAGGCAGGAGGCCTGTGTAAATCAGGGCTAAGAATTGTGAAATAATTAATTTTGCCTATATTGTAAACATACAAAAGGTGTTTCTCTAAGCTGTTAGAAATGGACTGAAGAGGACTTTAGAATCTTTGTTGTGATTGTTCAGGATCTTTGAAAATGAATAACTTCACATTAAAAGCAGCAACAGAGATCAAGGATGGTTTGCTTTCAAATGCTTTTGGTGCATTTTAAGAATAAATAGATGGTTTACTGTCCATACTTGGAAAAAAAGGTGCACTTTAAAATTAGTCTTAAAGGATAAGTTCACCTTTGGAAACATGTTACATGTTCCACCCATTTTTAGGGTGGAGCATGTCACATGTTCCCATAGTTGCAGCTGTGCTAGCCACCCCCCCCCCCCTTAAAGATAGTATGGGGAATCTTCTCCCAATACTATCTGTCAGATTTTGAAACTGCGTAGCAGTGCGGGGCTCTGCCCACGCGGCTGCATCATTAATTCACGGAAGTCCGTGAATGAATGAACTTCAAGTCCCAACAGCTTTAGTGGCTGTCGGCTTGTAGTTTTCAATGAACTACTACAGCGCTGTGGAGTGCCATGGTAGTTCATTGAAGCTTTGTGTCAGAATATCTGCTTGCTCGTACATCCCGTATGGTAAGCAGATATTCTGGCAGGACTGCAGGAGATCTACTGATCACTGGTGCAATGCTTTCCAGGCTCCTGCAGACAAAAAATAATAAATGCACTTTTTTCCCTGCAAAAAAATGTACATTTATTAATTTTGTCAAAAAGGTGAACTTATCCTTTAAAGAGGATAACAAAATCACTTGAAATGAACTATAATATATGTTAATGTATCTACATTACATCTACTTACCATCTGTATATTCCTCAGAGGAGAGTGAAAGAAGACTCTGCACATCACTGTTTTCAGAGTCAGCTCCTTCCCTTCCCAGTGTCCTGCTCTGTGCTCCAGACACCCACTGGGAAGAAGTCTGATGGACGAGTACAGTCTCTGATCGCTGTGAGCTGCCAGCTGTGCATTGTGAATTATGTGCCAAGGCTGAGCCAGTGGCATGAGTATTCTCCAGAGATTGTCCTGGTATACTAGAGTCGAGTACTTCTTGCTGTATATTCTGCTCTTCTCCTGGTCCTTCAGATAACACAATCTGCACACGAGAGCTGGCAGACGGTATACAATTTCCTGCACTGCCATAAACAGCTTCTTCATACGAAGGAAGGGCTACCTGCACCCCATCAACCATGATGGAAACTTGCTCCCCTGGCACATGTGTTTCACGTCTGTATGAGATTATACAAGAAAAACAATTAAAAGTCATGAATGCATCGTGTCTCTGTTACAGAAAAATCTACTACTGTCATGATAAACTATATAAAGTTGAGTAAACCACGGAGCAATTTAAAGGGAGCTTGCACTAAATGAAATAGAGGGCTGAACTTAACTTCTGATGCTGCTAGTTGGCTGTGTCTCTCTGGCCTGCAGCAGGCATGCAAATCAGAAAAGTCATAGTGACGTCAGAATTTTACAATCCGCACTGTTGGAGTGAGCAACATACTCATATATCAGGGCAGTTAAGAAACTAGTATGACAAGGCCATTTGATTATCAATAGTCTATCTGTTGTCACTACCGAATGTAGCCCTAAAATCAATGGCGCAGAATTAACCAGCAAGAGGTTAATGGTTGGGGGCCATAAATGGAATGCTATCTCCTGGATAAAACTTCCTGCACAGCACCCTATATAATGTTTTATGGGGTTTATATTGTCCCAGAGTGAAATTGCATCACAGTTCCTGGGAAAGGAATTCATATCAAAGCACCTTTAGGATGCCCTGCAGTGCTGATGGGTATAACACCTGCTTACTGTCCATCACCAAGGCATCAAAAGAACAGGCCGTAACTAAATGGCGACATAGGTCTAGGAACTCGCCTGCAAAATGAAGGTGCTATCTGCTGGAGGAGGTCCACAGGGGCAGCTAAATCATGAAAAAAATGGGTTTGGCAGAGGACACTTAAAGGGTTGTGGGGACACAAGATTCATAGTGTGAATGAAGTTTTGTGTATTATAAAAGCAGTAGCCAAGGCACAGGACTTTCTGCATAACATTCTGTGCTCTTTTATTGTAATTACTCTGCAACAGACATTTGTTAGGTCTGTTATTAATTTATAAGGAAAGAAACACACAGTAACAAGTACATAAGACCTTTGTTTTAGCATCTTCATTATTATCCTCATTAGGGATACCAACATCCCTACAGGTGTCGAGCATCATATATAGAAGTGGCACTGTATGCTGCTTCTAATGTCTAATTTGCTCCAATGGTTAATGTCATTTGCTGGCATTTCTGGCAGTGTGAAACCATGTCACTGCCTCATGGCCAAATGGAATTTTAAAAAACAATTTTTTTGCATCGACATGTTCTCCAGTGGGGGCTTTTTAATTCTCTTGGTACCTTCTCACCATAACCTACATGATTATACTGTCTCTACTATATTGGGTTTCTATTTCCTCCTACCAGATCATAGTAAAGCTTCCACTCTCTCACAGCCGGAGTCTTCAATCATTTGTTTATTGTACAGCATGCAGCAACCATTTGAGGGGCATGACACCACCATCTGTCTTGCAATGCCCACAACAGCTGGCTGCAAATGGGCATTCCCCTGAAGAGGAGTCTGGCAGTTATAATAATCCAGTATTTGCTTTTGCAGCAACCACAACACTGAAATATTATTTTGGCTAGAGATGCAATATAGCCAAATCTGAATTCCAGGCAAACCGCTAAATACATATATAGGAGCGGTTTTACCAGTGAAGGGATTTGTATTTCTAATCATCTCCTAGATTGTAAGCTCCAAAGAGCAGGGCCCTCGATCCCTTCATGTTTTGCATTGTATTGGTATTGTTCTGTCACATGTTCTGTCCCCCTTTGTAATTTACAGCGCTGAGCGAACTATTGGCGCTTTATAAATACTGTATAATAATAATAATAATCTTGCACCACGATTTGCATAGCTCTTCCGCACAGAACCATCCTGTGTTGCTAGGTAAGGGACCTGATATTTTTCTGCTGTAATTTTTGTGCCAACGTGAAGAAAAGAAGGAGCACTGACAACCTTAACTCTTTGCACTCTCCTCCTATCAGCATGCTACTTTTAATGCAACACACTTGATTGATATCTCCCTCCCCCAGCAACCAGCGATCACCTCTTCTCTCTAATGCTATGGGTTGTATCATATGTGACTGTCAGGCAGAGCACTGAAGAGAAGATGATTTGGGAGACCTATTGCAAGAGTGAAGGATAAAGTAAGAAGTGCACTAAACCAGTACCCTAGGCATAAATTAGAAAATTAACCCATGCAGTCCAGGAGGAGCTCCACTGCAGGGGTAGTTTTTTTTTTTTTCTTGTTTCCCAGAGTTCAGATGTGACAAAAAAGAAAGTTGTACTGAATCATATATTAATGATTATAGAGCTACAATAATTCGGGCCTCATATCTCCCTGGGGCTCCAAACAGATTCCTTTGGAGACACCACAAGTTACCTTATCTTACACGTTATGTTAAACATTTAGGCTATGTCAGGTTTACTTTCACACCCGAAACAGGTAAATGAAAACAGGCAACTAACAGCCCACTTGATAAAAGCAACTGGTGCATGGACATCCTTATTTACAGAAACATAAATGCCCCAAAGGCTAGAACCAGAAAAGGTAAGTAAACATAAATGACCCAAAAAGCCAGAACCAGTAAGTGTATGTAAATACAAACTACTGTACATTTTATTTTAACAAAACACACATTTAGCCCCCCATCAGTATATATAGATTTAAAAATGGGGAACAATTAAACTGTTCAAAATATAGGAAAATTGGTGAAAAGCAGAACTTCTTCACCAAGAATAGGCAGCTCTTTTATAAAAACGGTTCACTAAAAGAACAAACAAAAAACATACACACTATATTGACATTTATCTCACTTATACTGTATATATTTAGCGGAAAGAGGCCTGAGGTGAAAATGAACCTGCTGAGACACTGATGTGCTTTCTTACATGACTAAATTATGAAGGTTTCAGAAATTCAGATGGCATACAGAAATTGTAAGTGTAACACTCACCTGCTGTGGTGGAAGGACTTGATTTTGGGTTGTAGCAGGACAAATAAGACGATCAGGAGTAATATGAGGGCCACGGAGCTGGCTGTTGAGGCAACAATGGAAAGCGTGGGGACCCCAAGGCTGGTATTTCTACTGGTTTCTGGAAAAAAATAAATTGTAAGTTACAATGGTTCTCCACTACAATGCTGTGTTAACTTGAAGTCGGGCAAAACATTTTTTTGTTTTACCTTTTTATTTATAAAGTTATCCAGATTTTCTCTTACTTTCGGTCATGGTGACAGCTATTTTTCCCCAAACAGGAAGTGAGGAAAAAAACAAACCGCAACGAAAGTAATTTTCTTATTTCTGTTTGTGTTGCTGTTAGAGATTTATCATTGAAACCATTGTCGCCAGGACAGAAAGTGATGGGAAGGAAGCAGACAGAAGTTCTAATTCTTCCCCATGCTCCAAATAAGAAAAAACAAAACAAAAAAAAAAAAACAAATGACAGTGTACAGTTCACCAAGCAGGCAGATCGCTCCATTCTTTCCATAGAACAACCACAGCGATTCATATCCTTACGATCCCAACTGCTGGAGAGTGCCTTCTACCAATTCCCATGATAAAATCAATAGTGCATTTCAAGGAACTAGGCATCCCATACAGCCATAAGAAAAGCACTCACCTTGGTTCAGTCTACAACTAACTCCCATAGGTGGGCTCCAAGCACCATTCTTGCATGTTAGGAACTTGTAGTCTCCTTTCAGCATGTACCCCTCGGCACAGAAGTACTCTATGACACTACCAGACGTAAACGACTTTTCACAGTGTGGAGGGTGACACATGAATCCACCATTCTCTGGTTCTGGGGGTGGTGGGCACACTAAGGAGGCGAAGAGAATAAAAAAAAATACACATTAGAACATAACTAAGGCAATATATCTGCGTCAAGCATTTCATTGTATACTATAAATGCAAATGTATATACAGTTAAACAGTATTGGAGAATATTCTGTTGTGGCACACAGAAGTCTAATAACTTGTCCCATGGATGGAAACATTCACCGCAAAGCAGCAACTGAGCAAGAGAAAGAAGGAAAATACTGTACACTAGTACTTGTAGGAATGTCTAAAGGAAAAATCATCGTTGCCATGTTAGGCATTTCACTAAGATGGACAAACTGTTTTATCTCTGACCATTATTTATTATTTCATCTCATGATAGTTGTCTCTAGCAAATAAAAAAAACAACAAAATGAGCAGGGCAACACCCGTCCATCTGTGAACTTCTTACTTGCTTTATGGTATACAGAGACATGTGATTAAAGGATACGTCCACCCTAAAACATGTTGAACATGTTCCTGTAGCTCTCCCCCTGATCCCCCTGCTGATTGTGACAGCATTCCGGGGATCTTTTCCCCCCCACCCCCCACTGTCACAATTTGAAAAGAACGTGGCTGTGCAGGGCTCTTCCCTCATGGCCAAGCCATTCATTTCACAGTTTCCTGTGAATAAATGAACGAAGCACAAGTACTGACAGCCTTTGCAGCTGGCGGATTGTATCTCTCAATGAACTACCAGGGCACAGATGAGCGCTCTAGTAGCTCATTGATCCTTCCTGCATGAGCCCTGCATTGCACCCGCATTCTACTGATCCCAGGTGCAAAGCTTTACAGGCTTCTAGAAAAAATAAAGTTACATTTTTTTACCTGCAAAAAAATGTGCATTTATTATTATTTTTTTTTTAAGAAAGGTTATCTTATCCTTTAACTTTTCTCCCCTTTTCAAGATCAGCTTAGTGTGTGCGAAAAAAAACAATCAATGCAATAATGTCTCCTACTCCCTGAGACCTCCAGCACAGAAGAAGCAGTCCAATATTTGCATGCAGTGTTTTAAATGGAGCACTGCTCACTGTCAGTGTTTAGAGCTCATTTGAGTAATATGAGAAAGGCCAAATATCATCAAGAGTATGATTCCCAAGATGATCTCTTCATGGAAAGAGACTGTCACCAACTAAAAAAAAAATGCAGATAAATGCACTTAAAAATTGAGTTTTTTTTAAATGCTTAAAGAGTTTTTCCTTTCCATAAATGATTTTTTATTTACTAGCAAAGTAATTCTCAATTTGCTAGAAAATTTGACTGGTTCAGGAGAGTCCATTCCCTATTTAGACCTCTTTCTTGGCACATCAAAGATTAGACTTTCTCAGCCTTTTTTCAGTCACAGCACCCTTTAAAAGTAAGCAAAATCTTGAGACACCCCAGTCTAAAATGTAAAAATTGTAAATGTTACTTATCAAGACCTCCTTCTCTCTAGTTCCCTGGTCTCCTCCTCCCATGCCCGCCTCCAGGACTTCTCCAGGGTGTCACCCATCCTCTGGAACTCCCTGCCCCAACCCATCAGATTCATCATCTACTCTCCTCTCCTTTAGGTGCACCTTGAAAACCCATCTCTTCAGGGAAGCCTACCCCACCCTCTGCTAACTTGCCGACCCCCTCCACTCTTCCTACCTCAAAAGCAAATTTAAAAAAAAAACACCTTTTTTTTAACTTTTTTTTTTACTTTTAATGCACTAAAACACAATATATTGGCCAATTATTTGATAAAGTATAAAAAAATGATGGCATGCTGAGTAAATAGATACCAAACATGACATGCTTTAGAACTGAGCATGCCCCATGCAATGGCGACAAACTGCATACATTTTTAATATCCATAGGCAACGTTTTAAAAGCCTATAGAAGCTACCATTTTAGATTTACAGAGGAGGTCTAGTGTTAGAATTACTGCCCTTAATCTGACATTCATGGTGATACCTCACATGCATGGTGCAACCGCTGTTTACATACCAGCACAGGGTCAACGCTTGTGCACACAAGGTGTGTGTGCGGGGGGGGGGGGGGGGGGGGGGGGGGGACGACACTGCGGCTGGTCGGCAACCAGTTAAATATTGTACCAAAGGAGGACACATGGTTTTGCTGATGAGAGGCAATATTTTTTCCACAATTGCCACTGCAAAACCTCTTCAAAAGGTTTGCATCTGTGAGTAGGCCCAGCAGATGAACTGTAACAAAACATAAGCTTTGAGCAAGTCAAGGCAGGAAGACTGCAACAAATCTTTATGTCTCATACAGCAGATGCTCTGTTCCCTCAGGACCCCATATTTAGAGTTAAGTGTCCACGTGGCTGGAACAGCTGAGAACACAGTGATCTCTACCAGAAACTGCACAGACCCGGAGCTTTTGAGCAGGGACATTTATGTGGTTCCAGCAGCTGAGGCAGAACATCAATAACTGCAGGAAACCACACACATGAACACAAACAGATGAGGGGGAACAGTAGGAGTAGAACAGCACTCATATACAACTGGTGCAAAGAGAAAGGAAGTGGGGGGTTTGGGGAACTGACTTTTTAGAGTAACCAAAATGCCAGCAATGCTGCAATAAGATAAGAAGCAATTCTATGAGAGTGTTCTTGTGCAGAATTCCTTTGAGAAAAGGCAGCAAACCTAAGATACAGTTTTTGTTTTGTTTTTTAAGACCACATACAGATGAATCGGCTGGGACATTTCTAAGTGCTGAATAGACACATTTACTGAAAGAAAAAAAGTACATCAGTCAGCTATGGTTTGTTTAGAACTTTAGACCTAAGAGTTTCCCCACTTGGTAATGTGTATTAAATTACTGCCCAATGTTTAACCACTTCCGCTCCGGAAGACTTACCCCCCTTCATGACCAGGCGATATTTTGCAATACGGCGCTGCGTTACTTTAACTGACAATTGTGCAGTCATGCAATGCTGTACATAAATGACATTTATATAATTTTTTTCCCACAAATAGAGCTTACTTTTGGGGGTATTTGATCACATCTGGGGTTTTTTGCACTTTAACCGCTTTTACCCCCTTCCTGCCCAGGCCATTTTTTCAGGTTTCAGCGCTCTCACACTTTGAATGACAATTGCGCGGTCATACTACACTGTACCAAAACTTATTTTATAATTTTAAAATTTTATAATTTTCTTCACACAACTAGAGCTTTCTTTTGGTGGTATTTAATTACCGACGGGGTTTTTTATATTTTGCTAAATTAACAAAAAAAGACCAAACATTTTGAAAAAAAAAAAAAACAAACAAACATGTTTTTCTTTGTTTCTGTTATAAAAGTTTGCAAATAAATAATTGTTCTTCATAAATTTAGGCCGAGATGTATTCTACTACATGTCTTTGGTGAAAATAACCCAAATTAGGATGTATTATTTCGTTTGTAGGAAAGTTATAGAGTTCACAAACTATGGTATAGATCTGAATATTGATCAATACTTAAGTACTGACAGCCAATCTAATTTCTTGAGGTCCAACAATGTCAAAACAGTACAGATATCCCCCAAATGACCCCTTTTTGCAAAGTTTTGATTTTTTTGTCATAATGTTTTTGAAAATAAAAAAATTAATTTATTTTCACAAATTTTTTTTTTTTTTTTTTTTTTACATACCGTCAGCAGTGCAGTACAGTGTGTCATCATATAACTGGCATGGCGGTGATCAGGGACACTGACTGGTGACAGTATGAAAAAAAAAAATTATAATTTTTTTTTTCATTAGTTTTAATTTTTTATTACTTTTTGTTAATTTTTTTAAAGATTTTTTCATATTTCACTATGACCAAAGTAGTATAATGTTACCATAGTAACATTATACTACTTTGGGGAAGTGATCAGTTTTTTTTTTTTTTTTATTTACAGAGCAGAGCTGTGTCCTGTCACTCTCACCGATCAACTAGTGCTGGCATTCATCCATTGGCCAGCACCTGTTGATTGGCTTCTGCTGTGTCAAATCACATCAGAAGCGATGCATGCGTGCCCACCTACGGCAGAACTAATAATCCATCATCATCATTCATCATCTTTACTAGTAATACTAGCTAAATGTTGTCATTGAACTGCAAGCATGCTGGCGAGTGCTCTCATAGTTCACGTATTTATCCTGCACTTCAGTAGCTGTCTGTCCGTATGGGAAGTACAGGCAGACAGTTGTACTGAGAGTCTGCAGGAGCCTGACACTGCATCCATGATCTGCTGACCGCAAGTGCCATGCTTTACAGGCTGTAGTGTAAATAGAGAATACATGCATATTATTTTACCTGCAAAATCATGAGCATTTTTTTTTTTTTTTTTTTACAAAAGGTAAACTTGGCTTTTAAGTTCTTTTATTCTTTTTATTTATTGGTGAGCCGCTGTGTCTTATTATTAGAATCTGTATCCAGGAACAGAGAACATATGCTCAGCTAATGGATACACGTTTACGTCATGTAACAGCACATGGAGCTTCACACGCGGCTGCCAAAGAATCATGTCATTAGCTGGACAGTAACCAAGAAGCTGTACCTCACACTGTGACAGATTGGTGTGTGGGTGACTCTGTTACACACAGTTCAGAATAGGGGTGAGCTATGCTGGGATAGGAATACATGTCCAGTGGGTGCAAAGAATCGAACGGTTTCAAAACACAGTTATGCAGAACAGTATCCAAGGAAAAGATGCTGCACAAGCATGTGAAAAATCCAAACAACGCATTGCAATTTGTGCTGCAGTGTAAACACAGGTGCATAGGTACGTTCCAGGTGTACCCTCCCATCATCTGTGAATAGGATGAAGGTTGCGCCATCTGAAATAATTGTTTGCATTGCAGCTGAAAATAAAAATATTGTGTGGATTTGTCATTTGGCTGTGCAGCATCCTTTCTTTTGGGAAAAAAAGGAAGGAAAAAAAATATACAGATTAGTTATAATTATGGAAATGTAAATCTATTTTGATTAAAATAGTATTGGCAAGTGGTGGTGACAAATCAGAATTGCAACTTCACTTTAATTCCCCTTTTCTGT